GAGAGAGACAGGGGGAGTGCGTCCCTGTTGGTTCTCCTGGACCTCTCAGCGGCTTTCGATACCATTGACCATGGTATTCTTCTGGACAGGCTTGCGGGATTGGGGGTTGGAGGCACTGCTTTGCAGTGGTTCCGCTCCTATCTCGATGGCCGGTTCCAGAAGGTAGTGCTGGGGGACTATGGCTCTGCGCCATGGCAGCTATGCCATGGAGTGCCGCAGGGGTCCATTTTGTCCCGTTGCTGTTCAACATTTACATGAAACCGCTGGGAGAGGTCATCAGGAGGTGTGGGCTGCGGAACCATCAGTACGCTGATGATACCCAGCTCTACCTCTCGTTTCCACCAATCCAGGTGAGGCAGTGGCTGTGCTGAACCGGTGCCTGGCCGAGGTAATGGGCTGGATGAGGGCCAATAAACTGAAGCTCAATCCAGACAAGACGGAGGTCCTGTTGGTTGGTGGATCGAGCTTCGGAGAGGGTGAACTGAACCTTGTTCTGAATGGGGTTGCACTTCCTCTTAGGGACAAGGTTCGCAGCTTGGGAGTGCTCCTCGACCCGGAGCTTTCACTAGAAGCTCAGGTGACCGCAGTGGCGAGGAGCGCTTTCCTCCAGCTTCGGCTGATCCACCAGCTGCGCCCCTATCTGGAGTATGACTGCCTCGCGACAGTGACACATGCATTGGTGACTTCCCGTCTCGACTTCTGTAACGCGCTCTATGTGGGGCTACCCTTGAAGACGGTCCGGATACTTCAACTGGTTCAAAACAGAGCTGCCAGGCTGCTGACGGGGACTGGGCGTTGTGTTCACATGACTCCAGTTCTCCGTCACCTTCACTGGCTTCCCATTGAAGTCCGGGCCCAATTCAAGGTGTTGGTGATGACCTATAAAGCCCTAAACGGCTTGGGTCCTGGTTACCTGAAGGAGCGCTTGCATCCATATATGCCCAGCCGCCCCTTGAGATCGGCGGGGGAGGCCCTTCTCCGGGAACCCTCCATGAAAGAAATTAGGAGGGTGGGTACTCGGAGGAGGGCTTTCTCTGTGGTGGCGCCTAAGTTATGGAACGCGCTCCCCAGAGAGGTCCGCCTGGCGCCGTCGTTATTTGTTTTTCGGCGCCAGGCGAAGACCTTTTTATTCAAGCGGCATTTTAACTGTTAACATTATTGGTTTTATCTGGCCAGGGCGGCTTATTTTATACTATGCTGCTGTATTTTAATTTTATATTTATATTTTAATTTATATTATAATTATTTTAATTTATTGATGTGAGCCGCCCCAAGGCTTCGGCGAATGGGGCGGCATAAAAATGTTTTAATAAATAAAAATAAATAAATAATATACAATACTAACCGGAGTTAGCTTGATCATCACTGCAGTTATCTGTAAAGGATCCTCCACCAGTGTCACCTTCAACTATTACTGCTACTCAGCAGCTACCCTTCAGGAATTTCTCTGCCTCCATAACCATTAGAGATATCCATTCTCTTCTGCTGATGTGACTGTTCTTCCATAAAAGGGTGAATGCATCTTAGTCTGGTGTCTGCTCAGATCAGTCCTGCTTGGGTGGTCTAGTGGAACAGTCTGGCCTTCTAGCAGCATTTCTCTTGACACTTTCAAACCTCCTCACCATGATAAGATGTGCATTCAGAAGGGTGAATTATTTAATCTCTGGCATGAAACATATTATGAGTTTCAGAGATGTAGTTATCTTTCCCTTATATTAAGTTTGCATTTTACAATATTACATTTTACTTAGAGGGAGCAAAGGAAAATGTTCTGTTTACAAACAGTTAATGCAGACATATTTAAGCTATGTTGTATTCAATTCTATTTACATTTGATGGAAATTATCTTGCTGTTTTTATACTTGAAAGCATTCACAGGCATTGTCCAATAGTTTATTAGTATTCATGGCATAAAAGCAAATTATTTTCTGACTAAGAGAATTTTAAAAAGATAATTGGTTAGACCAACATTCTCATTAAACTAATTTGCATTAAATGTGCTTTTGTGAATTGCAGTTACTGCTTCTGTATATGAGAAACCTGCACTGTGATTTTAGCTGCCATTCTCAAACCACTTTCTCAGGGGCATTCCTGCTGTTTTCAGTAGTACCACTATGGATTAGGTGGTTGAGGACTGCAATCTTTATGTGTTTAAAAGACATAAATTATCATGCATCCTGGCTTCATTTAGAGCTTAACTTTTTTCCCAATCTCATTTTGCCAGTTTCAAGGAGCAAACTATCAGTAGTTTAGGGGCAGATTTATCAGGCCTGATTAGGAGTTGTTGCTTCTTTTAAGTGCAGCTGTACAAACAATATTTTTAGATATTACTAAGTAATAATTGAACCCGTTTTCCACTTCCCATTCCTTTAAAAACAAATATAGAAGTAGAATAAAAGAGTCACAAGACTGAGGAAGCCCTGTTGCATCAAAAATTCACTAGAATGTCACTAGGAATATAGCTACATGTGAGTTCTCTTTCTGTGCTTATCAATGGGAGAAGTGTACTGGAAAATTAGGTAGCTTCAACCAGTGAGCAGCTTGCCAAGGCCATTTGACCCAGGAATCCAGAATGAATATTTAAGTCCATTTTCAGTATTCAGCCACTACACCAGGCATATACTTCATTATGTTTAGGGGAATACTTGTATAATGTTTTATATTTCTCAATGCTTTGTTGAAATCAGTTATTACCAGGCAGGAGAACCAAAGACAAAATTTGAGACCATTGAGGAATACAAATATAGACTGCAAATTGTGGCAACGTGTATTATTATCACATAGTAATTGAGGCAGATTTGCCTGTTATGACTCAGTCCTAACAGAAGATTGCTCAGGATTTCCATAACATAATACATTATGTTCCTTACTTTGCCAAATCTACTGTAAACAATGTACTTTAACACAATATTTTCTAGCTCTATGAGGTTGCTGATAATGGATATCTGTTGTCAGCAAGCCAAAAGTGTAATCAATTCTAGCACAGAAATTACTGCATCTATTGGAAAATTGGCAGGCATGATCTATTCAGAAAGTGGGAAGTATAGAGGGGTGTGTTACCCTTTTAGCAAGCCAGTGTGATGTAGCAGGCAAGAGCATGGAGCTTGGGACTCAGGCAGTCTAGTCCCCACTCAGCATGGAGCCACCAGGGTGACTTTGAGCCAGTCACAGACTCAGCCCAACCTAACTCACCGGGTTGTTGTTGTGGGGATAAGATTGAGAGGAGGAGGAGGAGAAGACTGATGTAAGCCAGTTTGAATTCTTTAAATGAAAAAAGGCAGTATGTAAATCTAATAAGCAGCTTTCAATATTGTCAACCATCTTCTGGACTATCTCTCTGGGCTGTTTTTGGAAGGCTTAGTATTTCAATTGTTTCTTTCCTCTGGAGGTTTTGTTTCAGAAGGTGGTAGTAGGGGACTGCTGCTGTATCCCACGGCTGTTAGTTCTTGCAGTACTGCATGTGTCTATCTTGTCCCTATGCTTTTTTAATTTTCACATTAAACTACTGGGGAAAGTTGTGCGGAGATCTGGACTGAGGTGTCATCAGTATGTGGATAATACCCTGCTTTACCTTTCATTTCCATCTGTACCTCCCTCAGCAGCTGTGGTCTAGTGTCTAGAGTTAGTTCTGGGCTGGATGAAGGCAAGCAAGCTGAAATTTAATCCAGACAAGACAGAGTTACTGTGGGCTGTGAAACTAGCTACCCTGCATGGATGCTTACTGCTCCTAGAGGGACTTGTACTTTTCCTAAGGGACTAAATACACTTTTTTGGGAATTCTCTTGGATTCGGCCACTAACTGGAGAAGCTTGAGTGGAAGCAGTGCAAGCCCAAGTAAGACCAGTTTCCAAAGAACCAAACTGGGGTCTTAATTAAAGCTTGTTTTAAGCTTTCAAACCTACTTGAGAACCTTTATCTGTGAAAATTCTCTGTGGTTGTTTTGTGGCAGTTATTGTTGCTAGGCATCACATAGAATCTATGGCATAGATTATACAGCTTCTCAGCTGAGTTTCACGTCACTCTATGAGAGACTATGTGATAATAAATGTCCCATGTCACTGCAACATAGGCTATCTCAGATCTGCGTCTATACAGCCATGGAAGGCACTTGGCAGAGTCTCCTGAGGCTAATGAAGATGCAATAAGCCTGAGCATTAGTATTCTCAGTAATTAGCTGACTGGTTCTTATTCCTAGGCATTCCTTGTACTGCTTCTCTATGTTTAGAATTAAGTGATTTCTGCCAAATTTTGGGGAAAAAACAGAGCAATTTTAAATTGGCAGGGGTGGGGAGCACTGAAGTGATAGATTGTCTTTCCCTACAAAGCCTAGCCAGCTTGTGCTGTCTAGGATGGGCAGTGGGGAGGTATTCCCACCTTTCTCCATCTCTAGTGATTTTTCTCACTCCCATTGTTGGTTTCAGCTCGAGGAAAAATGTGTCAGCTTCAGGCTGGCATAGGTGAGAGGCTGATCTTAAGGCCTCTTGAGGAAAGATGGGGGCTTTGAATCTAGGGGATCTAAGGGACCGTCTGTCCCATCTCAGAATGCCTCCTTTCAAGTCAGCAGTAGATCTAAGCTCACAGAGCCTTTCATCAGAGTATTGTGGCCACTGAGCTGGACATGCCCTTTGCCTCACTCCAGCAAAACTCTTTTCTGACAGTGGGAGGATTCCCCCACCCCATCTTCCAGTACATGTGCTGTGAGCTACCCCGAGGTTTTGTTGCGATGGGGGTGGAATAGAAATGTTTTAAATAAATAAATAATGTGGGGGTTAGGATTGCACTCTAAAATAAGATGCAAATGTTTGTTTATTATTTGCCTTTTTGGAAGATTTTGGTAGCTTCTGTTAAGGTCTAGGTTTAGTTGTGGTTTCTAATGAAGTATATATTGAAACATTGTTACCACAGCTGTGAATTCTTTCGTGCTAATGTAACCTCCATCTGTCCTGATCATTGGGTTTTTTTGGGGAAATCTATTAACATGTGTGCCATTATATTTCTAGGTGATTCCTTTACCCAGTTCAGATTTACTGAAGAAAAGGAATGGACCGCAGAAAACCTTTCCCCAAAGCAGGTAATGGAGGAAAATATTTGTTTTGGGAAAAAAAATGCTGTCGATATTTCATTTCAATTGCTAAACTACACAATTCTCAAGGAAAGCAACTTCTTTTTTAGCAGTTTCATTTTTGAGAAGTTTCCACTTTTGAAGTTGAGTGTGAATTTATTGGGCTTCTTGGATCATTTTTCACTCACAAATAACACTGGTCTACAAGGAGAAAGCCTCAGAAATGAAAGTAGCTAAATTTTATCAGAATTGGGTCACTAATAAAGGAAAATTAAGACCTGAGTATTAATTGGCTCCAGTTTCCAAGATACAGCTTCAGATCAAAATTTCATCAAAATAATTAAATTTATGAGGGCGATGTGCAATTATGCTCCATAACTTTTCTGCAAAATGTGATAAATTTATCTTTTTATTGATACCTATAACATAACTTTCCATTAATTTATTGGTTTTTCATGTAACATTTTCATGCTTTTTGCATGAAAAACTTACAAGCTCATCATCTTTATCATCATCCGAGTCTTGAGAGTAGGATTCTGGTGGATCTGGAATTAACAATTCCTCACCATGGGGTACAGGATGCAGTACGGATGGAATGTTTGGATATTCTATGGTCTACTTCTTTCTTGATCCCTTTTGCAAATGGGGGAACCATGCACAAATTGCAGTCACTACTATGATTGGTGGGTTCCCTCCACACCATTGGGACTATGAAAGGCATGGACTTTTTCTTCTTGTTCAGTCAATGATGCAGATAAGTTGCACATGTAATGCAACAATAATGAGGGGCCCAACTCTTGTCCAAATTGCCTAGTTTACATCCAAAATACAGGTGGTATGCCTTTTTTACCACTGCCATCATACTGCATTTTTGAAATTCAAATATAACCTCCCCACAAATGTAGCAGAAGTTATCTGCATTGTTTAAACAGTTTTGAGGCATCTTGGCTTCCAAGGGAAAATACACGCAACTGTTCCTTGGAAATGTTAGGCAATGACACTTTCGTAAGCCACCAAATGTAACTCTGTGATATGTAGATCTGATGAAGACAATGTACCTTGCAATGAAAGAACAATAAATTACAGTTCACTAATAAGCTTTAGTCTCAAAGTGAAGATAAATTTATACACTTCCATGTGGTACCATTTTCATTGTTCTACCATACTTTGTCGAAAAGTTACGAAGCATCATGATCATCAGACACCTCCCTCCCCTGTAGGCAAATATACTCACCTGTGTATAAATCTTTACTGTGAAATATCTTGAAAACTTTAGCCAACCAGAACCTTTATCACCTGTTTTCTAATACATCTAATCCAAATATGTAAGAATTAGCACATTTTATCTCGGAGGGCAATAATTTCCCAAAATTTGTGTAAGCTACATTTTATGGCACCATAGCCAGTGTTTCCTACTACTACTATTATTATTATTATTATTATTATTATTATTATTATTATTATTATTATTATTATTACATTTCTATGCCGCCCCTTGCCAAAGCCTCGGGGCGGCTTACAACACAATAAAATACATTGAAATACAATAGAACATAATAAATTACCATTAAATACAAAAATACAAAAAATACACTGAGTTACAAACATAATAATATAAGATTAAAATTATCAGTATAAAATAAGTAAATAAATAATATAGGAGGAGAAAAGTGAAGGAAGAAGAAGTTGCCCTGGCCAGATCATATGTTTTAACAATTAAAATGATGCTTAAATAAAAACGTCTTTACCTGGTGCCAAAAAACCAGTAACGACGGTGCCAAGCGGACCTCTTTGGGGAGTGAATTCCATAGGTTGGGCGCCACCGCAGGGAAAGCCCTCCTCCGGGTACTTACTCTCCTAATTTCTTTCATGGAGGGTTCCCGGAGAAGGGACTCTCCCACAGATCTCAAAGGGCGGTCGGGCATATACAGACGTAAGCGTTCGTTCAGGTAGCCAGGACCCAAGCCGTTTAGGGCTTTGTAGGTCATAATCAACACCTTGAATTGGGCCCGGGCTTCAATGGGAAGCCAGTGAAGCTGACGGAGGACTGGAGTCATGTGAGCATAACGCCCCGTCCCCGTCAGCAATCTGGCAGCTTTATTTTGCACCAATTGAAGTGTTCGGACCGTCTTCAGGGGAAGCCCCACGTAAAGCGCGTTACAGAAATCTAGGCGGGAAGTCACCAGCGCGTGTGTCACCGTTGCCAGGCAGTCGTACTCCAGGTAGGGGCACAGCTGATTAATCAGCCGAAGCTGAAGGAAGGCGCTCCTCGCCACCACTGTCACCTGAGCTTCCAAAGAAAGCTCCGAGTCGAGGAGTACTCCTAAGCTGCGGACCTTATCCCTAAGAGGGAGTGTTGCACCATTCAGGACCAGGTCAAATCCACCCTCTCCGAAGCCCGATCCGCCAACCAACAGGACCTCCGTCTTGTCTGGGTTGAGTTTCAGTTTATTGGCCCTCATCCATTCCATTACCTCGGCCAAGCACCGGTTCAACACAGCCACTGCCTCACCTGGATTAGTGGAAAATGAGAGGTAGAGCTGGGTATCATCAGTGTATTGATGATTCCGCAGCCCACACCTCCTGATGACCTCTCCCAGCGGTTTCATATAGATGTTAAATAGCAGAGGGGATAGAATGGAGCCCTGTGGTACTCCATGGCATAGCTGCCATGACGTAGAGACATGGTCCCCCAGCACTACCTTCTGGAATCGACCGTTGAGATAGGAGCGGAACCACTGCAAAGCAGTGCCTCCAACCCCCAGTCCCGCTAGCCTATCCAGAAGGATACCATGGTCGATGGTATCGAAAGCTGCCAAGAGGTCCAGAAGAACGAACAGGGATGCACTCCCCCTGTCCTTCTCCCTGCACAGGTCATGGTACAGGGCGACCAAGGCAGATTCAGTACTGTACCCAGGTCTGAAGCCGGACTGAAAAGGATCCAGATAATCAGTTTCATCCAAGAGTGCTTGGAGTTGTCCCGCCACCACTCGCTCCAACACCTTGCCCAGAAACGGGATGTTGGCCACAGGTCTATAGTTCGTGGCCATCTCTGGATCCAGTGACGCTTTCTTCAGGACCGGTCGTATTACCGCTTCCTTTAAAGGGGCAGGCACTCGACCCTCCCTCAGAGAAGCGTTAACCACTTCCAAGATCCAGGTCCCAATCCCGTGCTTGGAATTATTTATTAACCAAGACGGGCAAGGATCCAATAGGCAAGTGGTGGGACGTACTCGTCCAAGCACCTTGTCCACATCATTGGGCCGCAATAATTGAAATTCCTCCAATAATTTTGGACCAGACGGTAGCATTGGCGTCTCCCCAGAGACCTCTGATTCATTAGTGGAGTCCAGCTCGTGACGAATCTGAGCGATTTTCTCCCTGAAATGCCTGGCAAAGTCGTCACAGCGGGCTTTTGAGGGTGGCATCGGATCTTCCTTAGGACCCGGGCGAACCAGGCCTTGTACCACTCGAAAAAGCTCCACTGGATGGCATTGTGAGGAGGCAATGGAATAATTCTGCAACTGTCATATTAGGTCCTGAACTGCACTGCTTAGGAGTAGGTCTAGCATGACCACTCCCCTGGTTGGTTTCATGACTAATTATTTTAGGACTCAGTAGTATAGAACATCTATCATTGTTTTGACTGAAAAATACATTTATCCAATTATGTGCGGGTAATTGAAGTAACTTATTGCAATACTTATCATTGGGTGCCTTCCTGATTTTACTGTTTACACATTTTGGTCAAGTGGTAGGTAATAGCATGTCCCCATTACTAAATTATTATTGGAGCCTGGGATTATCACCCACAGTGGTTCTGCTGAAGAATCTGCCCCATCTGAGATTTCTGGTTAATTTGATGTTATGCCCTTTGATAAAATACCTGGTTCTCAATAAAGCATTTGTCACAGACTTTTGACATGTTTCTCAAAGAAGGAGACATCCTACATTGTTATTTCAAAGTTGATTTCTCTTCCTAGAATATGCTAGCAATAAGCTAACTGCATTTATACCTGGGGTCCCTTGTGTGGATTTCTGGTGCCCATCAGGCTCTTTTCTCTACCTAATTTTTAAAGAGTATTAAAAACTGATACTGTCTTTGTATCCAAGAATGTCTCTGTGCTGGTACAAGCAGCCCAGAGGAATTCTTAGCTCTTTCATTTTTTAGAAAATAAAAATGGATGGTGGATGCAGATTAGGGGTTCATTTCAAATTAGGGATGAGGCACCTCCAAATCACTGGCCCGTTTGGTTTGCCAAGTATGGCTGGCAGGTATATAGAACCTCAGGTGAGGCATTTTCTTGGATCCCACTCCTTTGAAGGCTAGGGAAGAGGAATCCGTGTTATTTTATTTATTTATTTTATTTATTAAAACATTTTTATGCCCCCCCATTCGCCGAAGCCTCGGGGCGGCTCACATCATTATTACCCCAATCACTGATTAGAGATAATAGCATGTATTCTTCCTTGCACTAGCTTTGCCAGCCCCATTTCCTCCCTGGTTGGAGTGGCTTCAATGCATCCCTATTTCAAGGCACATCCAGAAAAAAGAAAGGCAAGTTGGAGGGTTGGATTCCTGGGAAGCTAGAGGAGGTGCAGAGTGAGTGGGGTGTTTTGCCTGGATTTTCTGTTAGCTAATGGTAGAAGTAGATATTGTGGCAGATGTGAGACTGCCCATGAAAATAGTGGCTCCGTCTCTCATTCTCTCTCTCTCTCTCTGTCCTTGGTAAAATCTATACATCCTTGCATCCAGTCATCCATCATGTATCTATTCAGTATGTAATACCTTGTCTTCGATATTTAGGAACCAGTATTTAAGATGGACAGGAGGAGGAGAATTATGTAAGCCACCTTGAGCTCCTTGAAAAGAAAAAAGGTGGCATATCAATAGAATAAATAAATAAAATAATCTGGTTCCATCTCCAGTCTATGTGTTGTTCCTGTGCATATAAGCTACACAGTTCCTTTCAGCAGAGGCAGAAGAACTCACTTGGTCTTGCAGCCTCTGCTGAAAAGCCTGCTGTGTCCTTTGGGATAAGTTATGTATGAGATTACTGTGTGATCACTGTAGATTTAACTCAGTTTGTGTGTGTGTGGGGGGGGGGGGGTTTGGTGTTTTCTGTACTATTTTTCAGCTGTCAGGATTGTATGTGGACTGTCAATCCTTGGTCCAGGCACTTGAGGAACTGCCCCTGCATCTCAAACTGAATGTTGCTGCTGAACTGGTACAGGTAACACCCAAGCTGCTTATAAATATCTTAAACTTATTGTAAGCTTGAACAGCCTCATATTATTTTAATGTAACTAGCAAGTGTTGCAGTCTGCTACATGTAACTGCCTCAAATCAAAAGCAAGGAGGACCATTATGAAGGAATTGACCATCAGCACTTCTTACACTTCATTGCACCCTGTTAGCAAAGTGTTTTGCACACACCAGGTCCATCTCTGCCAAAGCCGGCATCCTCAAAGAGGTGCTTGCCCTAATTCTGTTGTTACAGATGTTTGTCTTCTTTTTCATTAACATCATTGTAGAGATATCAGAGAACATTGTAAAACTAAGAGCATGTTACTTTTATTTCTTCCCTATAACTATTACTGATCCATTTAGAATTCCATCCACTGATACCATCCCCCATGCAGTGGATCTTATTTAGCAGGAAAACTGCTGAACAGGGATGTACAAGACCATTGTTTATGCCCAGGGTTGAGCACATCAGGTAGCAGCATGAAAACAAATTATATTCTGCAGATGAAAATGCATCAAAATATTCAGGTAGATTGAAGAAAGCTAAGGGAAGTAGTGAGTTAAGTATGGCTGTTAGCTAAGATTACAATTTATCAAAAGCAAGAAAATCAATCTGCTATAGAAAGCAAAGGCTGCTAACTACTAAAAACAGTTTTGCACTCCTGTGGGATTGTTTAAAGTGACTCAGAAACAGACATTGCTTATTTTTTCTTGCTGTAGCTCAAAGTAATTTGTATGAATGTAGCCAAGAAATTTGAATTTGTTTTGCGAGTAAAATGCTTTCTTACAACAAAAATGCCAAGAGTGGATGTCATTCTTCTTTCATACTGTTAATTGTGCCATGGCAGTCACTGGCTTTTTTCTGCAGCACTATGGGACATTTTTTCCTGTAATGAAGTAACAGGTTCTCCTGCAGTGCATGATTCAAGGCAGCAGGTCAATGAACTACAGTGCTTTGCATTTCCTTCCCTTTTCTTTTTGCCACTGAATTGGATAATGTGCTGGCTTGGGGGTTATCCCCAGCCTTTAAAACCTAGGCAATCTTTCAGTAAATAGATTGTTTAGTATGGTGATGCATTTTATTTAATTGCCATGGCCTATGAAACATATTGTTGAATAAAATTAACATGTAGACAAACTTTGGGAAGGTAATTTGCCAACAATATTTTACAGTCTTCACTGGAGAAAGACTTGCCAGTCTATCAGCTACACTGGTTCACTTTGCCTGACTTCAACTTTAATGGTTTTTAAAAATTGATTAAAGGAAAAATATAGTATAGCAACACTGTAAAAAACCACTCATAAACATGATGTGAGATATGTAATAGCTTAGAGTGTTGGACCAGGACTCAAGACATCTGGGTTCTAGACCCCTCTCAGCCATGGAACTCACTGGGTGACTTTGAGCCAATCATATACTCTTAGTTTAAGCTCCACCTCACAGGGTTGTTGTGAAGATAAAATGGAGAGGAGGAGAAACTTGTAAGCCTCCTTCAACTCCTTGCAGGAGGGAGAAAGGCAAGATATAAATGTAATGCCACAATAACAACAATATTTGAATAGCCATTATTAATATTGGGACTATTTCAAGTATATTCTAACTGTCATGGCTGTGTTTGTTTGTTTTTCCTGAATAATTTCTTTTTTTAGCTTAAGCAGAACTTCCATTTGAGATAGTAGAAGGTTTGTTGTTAACATTCCACCTTTTCACAACTTTCTGTTCTTTTTCTGTTGTAGGATGCAACACCTGTAGCACTCCCCCAGATTAAGCAGAAAAGTAACCCTATTCCCATGAGAGGCAGCGGTCCATTGCAGCAGCCCATGGGGCAGAATAGAGTTGCACTGAGCCCTTATCCTGCTGAAGACTTTGTGACCCATTTGATGCTGCCAAACAAAGATGGTCTTGGAATTTCTTCAGAGGCCCCTCAGAAAAGCCCTTCAGTTTCATATCAAGAAACAGATGATTTAGATGAAGATCTTGATCTACTTCTGAAATTAGATGCCCCTGTTAATCCTGGAAATAACCTTGCATTGGAAATGACATCCCATGATAAAGCTGCTGGAGATGATTTGAACATGTCTCATGAAAAAAATGGTAAGCATTGCTCCTTCTCCCTTGTTTTTAATCTTTGTTTTATTTTGATGGGTTAGTATAATAAAATTGTTACTTTGACCAACTGTCTTTAATTCTTCAACCATTACTGCAGTGCCTAATATTAAGTGGATGATGCCCTAGCACTTCAGACAAGCCTACTATAATGTGATCTCATAAGAATAGTTTTGCTTGGCATATGAAAACTCCAAAACATTCTTCTTTGGCATGAATCAGTCAGGTTTTATTTATAAACCTAGAATGTGAATGTTGGTCTTTCAGTTAAAGAGGAAGGATAACTTCCTTGATTTGAAACTGGTCTCTAAGACGTTGGCAGGGAGGATGATTTATTTATTTAAAACATTTATATGCCTGTGTTGTGTTGTGTTATGTTGTGTTTTTCCCCGAGTTATTCTTCCAAATACAGACTTGTGTCACAGTCACTTGCAAGAAACATGCTGCCACATGATGCAGATACCATTAAAAAACAAAAACACGGACAGACACAGACACACACACAGACACAGGACAAATTGGCAAATAAAAATAAATTGTCCTGGATGCTCAGCATTGACTAAAGCAGCAAAATCACATCACACAAAAGAGTTAGTCCTAATTTCTGACTGTATGATGGCTAGTGAAGGATATATTTTGAGAACTTTGTACTTTTTTAGTGGGGTAGATGGTATTGAAGGAGAAAAGCGCCATAGAGTACAAATGGAAACTGAACTACACACACAAATGTCAGAAGCAAATAAACGTGGTCTAGATGCACCTCAAAAATGGGCAAATGACAACATTTTACAATGGGGAAATTTCTTTCATTGGCTGTATCTTCTTTTTGCCTAGCAGTCTTTTATGTCTCAGCAAATTAGAATCTGAAATAAATCCTATGTATCATTATAGCTGGTAGTTGATAACACTCTTATAGGTCATTATGCTATTTTACTCTTTTAATTTGTCACACAGCTTTTGTCACTTTGGCATTATAATATTATATATGTGAAGTAAACAGTGTGTAATAGAAACAGCTGATCACTTTGGAGAAACAAACTGATTGTTTGAAAACGGAGTCTTCCATGTAGAATGGCCACAAGAAGAAGGGCATTTTCAGTGGCAGCCCCTCAGTTATGGTACAGGCTTTCCACTAAAGCATGCCCAGAACCATCTTTAATATCTTTTTGGCACAAGATCAAGATTATTCTCTATGACAGGGCATTTAATCTTATTTATTTTATATTGGGGCATTATGTCAATTTCTTAATAGATCTTGTGATTTAATTTGTGTAAACTGTTGCTGTTATGTCCCATCAAGTCGTCTCTGACTTATGACAAGCTTATGAATGAAAGTCCTCTAAAATATCCTATCCATGACAGCCTACTCAGCTTTTGTGAATACACTTTTTCTTCTGCTTTTGACTTTCCCTAGCATGATTGTTTTCCTCAGCTAGTCTTTTCATGATATGTCCTCAGTTTTGTCATTTTTGCTTCTAGGGCAAGTTCTGGTTGGATTTGATGTAGGACCCACTTATTTGTCCTGTCAGTCCAGAGGGTTTGCAAAGTTGTCCTCCAGCACCATATTTCCAATTTTCTTCTTGTCAACTTTACTACCACTCTATACGACTCTGGTGTGCCCGCAACTGTAGTATTTTGCTCAGTTTTGGGCCCCTCATTACAGGAAGGATATAGCCAGGTTAGAGTCAGTGCAGCGTAGGGCCATAAGGTTGGTGGCCGGTTTGCAGAGGATAGGGTATGAGGTGAAACTGAGGGAACTGGGTCTCTTCAGCCTGGAGAAGAGGAGATTCAGAGGGGATCCATCATGACTTTAAGACAATTTTAAGACATGACTTTAAAACCATCATGACTTCAAGACAATTTTAGGTTCTGTATAAGTGATCAACAATGCAGAAGAATGTGTATCTTCTGGAAACTACTCTTGAAGATCCAGTATCAGTTTGAGAAAGTTATCCTTATTTTGCAGAAAAGTGTTTGAGAAACCACCCAGTCTAACTTTCGCCAGGCTCACACATCTTGACAACCTAATTACACTAATTAGGCAGCTTGTGGCTGGCATGTGCTGGGAGTGGAAAGATCAAAAGAGGTATTACTACCACTCTATATGACTCTGGTGTGCCTGCAACTGGAGTATTGTGCTCAGTTTTGGGCCCCTCATTACAGGAAGAATATAGCCAGGTTAGAGTCAGTGCAGCGTAGGGTCACAAGGTTGGTGGCCAGTTTGCAGGGGATGCCATATGAGGCAAGACTGAGCGAACTGAGTCTCTTCAGCCTGGAGAAGAGGAGACTCAGAGGGGATCTGTTGGCGACATACAGGTATGTGAGGGGATGTCACACGGAGATGGGTAGAGACCTGTTCTCCCCTGCAGAGGAAGGCAGGACGCGCTCCAATGGAGCAAAGCTCAGGGAACCAAGGTTCCATTTAGATGCCAGGAGGCACTTCCTGACAGTCGGGACCCCGAGGGTGTGGAATGGGCTTCCACAAGAGGTCATTGAGGCCCTATTGGTGAGGGTGTTCAAAGATAGGCTGGACATGCACATAGTGGGCATGTCGTGAGCGGAGCCGGCTGGAGCTGGGGGTCAGACTAGATGGCCCGGGAGACCCCTTCTGACTCACTCTGTTTCTGTGTTTGTTCACTGTCCAGCTTTTGTATCCCTACATACTGATCAGCAATATAATAGCATGTCTTATTGACACATCTTACACCAGTTTTCACTCCTTCCTTTGATTCTAATTCAGCATTCCTTATCATATATTCTGCATACAGATAGGATGATAAAATACATCACTGTCTGACATATTTGCCTGTGGGAAACCATTCTGTTTCTCTATTCTGTCCTCACAGTAGCTTCTTGTCTACGATACAGGTTACGGGACAGTCAAGTGCTGAGGTGCACCCATTTTTTTCAAGACCACCCATACCTTCTTGTGGTCCACACTATAAACAGTCTGCCCTGGGTGACTCTGCTAGGAGACCAGCCCAGTGAGACAGTCTGGCCTTCTGGCAGTATGGCTTTCACCTTCTCTGGCACTCTCAAACCGCCTTATCTCATTAAGGTGTGCATCTAAGACAGAGAACCTATTGTAACTTTCTAAATGTAGTTTTAATTAAAACTTGTATTTTTATGGTGCATTTATTATTATTTTACTTTTTATGTTGTATTTTTATTATATTTTATCTGCAGTTGTAAACTATGCTGAGGACTTTGGCTGGTGGACATTATAGACTAAGAACTTGGATTCCTAGTGTAGCCCATACATTATCAATGTTTTGTTTTCTTCATGGGGGCTTCAGCTGTTCAACCTGTTTCATTTATATCTACTGTAGAATTATTTTTCAGTACTTTCATGTTCAAAGTTTGGTTTAAAAATGCTTGGTTGGCCCATCCAAACTCAGTTCAATTCTCCCAAACCGAAGTCTCATCCAGATTCAAGTTCTCTGCTTCTGCCATGTAATCTTTTCCCCCCCTCTCTGGGTTGGTAAACTTCATATTCATATTGCCATCCTTCAATCTGTGACCTATTTTTAGAAGTTTGCAGATACTTGGTATTGGACATTGGCAGGATGAGAATTCAACAACTTACCAACATTTGGAATATTCAGAATCCCCTTATAAAAGAGGTTCACAGTGTCCTGAAGAAAGGGGACACTGAACATATTTTTCCCTCTCACTATTTACCAGAGTTCTAGACGCAAGCGTATCCCCCACAATTTCTGGAGTGGATCAACAAATTCTTCTCTCACAGAATATTCCATATAATTTTGCTTCCTGTAATTCTTCTCAGTAGTAAGTATTTAGTTCTCAAGTGTAGACTTCACTTGTGGTTCTGTCCACCCACAATACTGCAGATTCCTAGCCTGACTATCAGCAGCCATTCTTTTCAGTACTATGTTCATCATCTTGGCCTTTTCACTGCCCCAGGGTGAACTGTATGGGTATGTCAGCTGCCCACATGCATCACAGAGTTGTAACCATTACCCTTTACATTGCTATTTTAACTTGGAATTGAATCCAGCAAATTTACTGACCACTTACAACCCTAGTGTTCTGTGATGTTTGGCATATTGTGGCAAATTTGCATATTTCGTGATAGTAGAACCTTATATTGCCTGACCCATCTACGTCTCTCAACTCTGACTAATCATTTGTTCCATTCTGGAATCTTTTTGAGGTGACATTTACCTTTATTGGTTCACTGGTGATGTCTCCTCTGTCATCCATGTGCTAACCACATTCCTTTTCATCTGCCTTATATATTTCAATGCTTGTTTGCCTGCAAACCAAACAATGTTGCAGGTTCAGTTTACCTCTCTTCAGATACTAACTCTACAGCTGCCTTTTTGTCTTTGGACTGGGGGACCTCCCTGTGGTTTTGAGGGAGCATTGCCACTCTCATTGTCAATGAGAAACAATTGTCTCCCAAGGAAATAACAAACTGTCTATAGTAGAGGTAGGCAATCTGATACCTTCCAGATGTTTCAGACTACAGTGCCCAAAATTCTGAATCTTTGCTGATGCTGGCTTAGATGTTTGGGTGTTGTAGTTTAAAACATCTGGAAGGTGTCATGTTGCCTACCTCTGATTGAGAATGTTAAGCAAATGCCATCAGATGCTATCCTTTCTTGCCCTACTTTGGACTGGGTAGTCTAGATTCCCACAGACAGTACACTACATGATCAAATAAGGGATGATCTCCACTGCCTGGCCATTTCTACCTGGACTTTACATTGTCCACATATGTCCAGTGGCAAACAGTCTTGCAGGGATGTGCAATGTGCTAAACAACTCCCTCTATCAGGTCCATGCTGTGCTTTGGAAATAAAATTTTCTTGTACATTATCTCATGCCCCATCTTCAGCACTAATGATTCCCTGCATTGACTATTTGCAGTAGGAATACTGCAGTGCGGATTTGTACACTAAAGAATATGAAGTTCCCAAGTTCTACACTCAGCTGATTGCTAGGGAGTATGCTTCTGATCCCTT